TCCCCCCCCCGGTTTTTTTTTTTTTTTTTTTGTATTGTAGAGACAAGGTCTCACCAAGTTGCCTGGGCTGATCTCAAATCCGCGGGCTCAAGCAATCTACTCACCTTGGCCTCCCAAAGTGCTGAGATTACAGACTGAGCCACCAAGCCCAGTCGTGCAATTCTTAATATTCAGTATGGATGAGACTTGAAGATCATCAAGTCCAGCCCTATCACACTTCAGATGAGAGCACCGAGGGCCAGAGTGGCTGGTAACACAGCAGCGGCCACAGGTTTGAAATTAGAACTAAAGCCAGGTCCCAGTCCTTATCTCCAAGCTCAGTCTTGTTTCCACAAGAGACTATTCAGGATTTCTTGTCTACCATACTCTTTTGCTAAAACAGTTCCTCTGTTTCTTTTTTTTTTTTTTTTTGAGTTGGAGTCTCACTCTGTTGCCCAGACTGGAGTGCAGTGGCTGCTCCTGGCCACCACAGCCTTGACCTGCTGGGCTCCGGCGATCCTTCCGCCTCAGCCTTCCAAGTAGCCGGAATTACAGGCGTGCACTACCACGCCCGGCTAATTTTTTTGGTATATTGTAGAGATGAGGTCTCGCCAAGTTGCCCAGGCGGGTCTCGAACCCGCGGGCTCAAGCAATCCACTCATCTCAGCCTCCCAAAGCGCGGGATTACAGGCTGAGCCACCAAGCCCGGCTTCCTCTGTTTCTAATACCAGAGCTTTATACAACAGATAAGTGGTGGTAAATTGGAAGCCCCTCTTTAGTGGTGTTTGTTGAAGGACAACCTACTCCTCAGCACTGTCCTTATCCTCTTTTTTTGAGTCGGTGTCTCACTCTGTCACCCAGGCCGCAGTGCATTGGCATGCTCACAGCTACCTCAGCCTCTACCTGTTGGGCTCAGGTGATCCTTCTGCCTCAGCCTTCCAAGTAGCTGGACCCACAGGCGCGCGCTACCATACCCAGCAAATTTTTTGATTTCTTATAGAGACGAGGTCTCACCAAGTTGCCCAGGCTGGTCTCGAACCCCTGGGTTCAGGCAATCCTCTCGCCTCAGCCTCCCAAAGTGCTGGGATTACAGGCATGAGCCACCGCACCCAGCTCTCATCCTCTTTTCTAAAATTCCTTGAACCCAGACCCACACATCCCTGAGGACCCTCAGCACTGTGTCATTCCTCAGGGTATATATAAAAGGGTTGAGGAATGGAGTCACCACACTGGTCAGTACTGAGGGGATCTTGTTGACCTCCAGATATTCTTTCTGGGAGGGAGTCACATAAATAAACACAGTGATGCCCCCAGAAATGACGACGATGGTCAGGTGGGAAGCACAGGTATTAAAGGCCTTCTTCCTTCTGCTTGCAGAAGGAATGCGCACTGTCGTCAAGATCATGTACGTACAGGAATAGGCCACAAGGACTATGCAGCAGAGGATGACGGTGGACGAAAGCATAAAATCCATCAGCTCAATGGCAGTGGTGTCTGCACAGACCAGGGCCAGCAAGGGCCCACTGTCACAGAAGAAGTGGTTAACGATGTTGGAGCCACAGAAGGGCAGCCGGGAGATGAGGATGATTGGAAACAACACAGACAGGAAGCCGCCCACCCAAGAGAACACAACGGTCCCAACGCAGACAGGCGGGCTCATGATGGTGGTGTACCGCAGCGGGTAGCAGATGGCGGCGTACCGATCATAGGACATGACCGTCAACAGGAGAAGCTCAACCGTGGCCAGAAAGAAGTAGAAATAGCACTGGGTGATACACCCGGCAAACGGGATGCTTTTATCCCCGGAGCCTTAGTTAGCCAGCACTTTTGGAGAAATGACTGAGGTGAAGAGGATGTCCAAGATGGAGAGGTTGCACAGGAAGAAGTACATAGGAGTGTGGAGGCGGGAGTAGGACAGCACAACGGAGATGATGAGCAGGTTGCCCAGGAGAGTCAGCAGGAATGTGGGCAGCAGGAGCAGCAGGAGCAGCAGGAGCAGCAGCTCCACCTCCCTGCTGAGGGGAAACCCCCGCAGAATAAACTCGGTCACTGCAGCAGTCTGATTCCCCATGGGTCTGGTGGGCCAGGCTCAATTGCTCCAAGGGAACAAAGGGAGATAACACTTAGGAGAGTATTTCATGTAAAACCCCATGGCTGTTCATTAGAAAACTACGAACATAGAACGCGGTGGCTCCCAATTAGATGTGTAATCCAAATTTAACTTGGTTTTAAATTATTTGCCTATCAAATTAGGCAATGTTTTTGAAAATAGTAATGTTCACTGTGAGCAAGAGTGCACCGAGACCTACACTATCACATAGTTCATATGAACATTCTAAAAGATAATTTAGCAATTTGTATAAAAGATCTTAAAATTGAGCAAATTATTTGATTCAGAATTCTACTTCCGTCCTGAGGAAACAGTCATGGGAATGGAAAAAGGGTTGTGTCACAAGAATATTCACCACAGAATTGCTTATAATAATGAAAATTTAGGCCAGGCGTGGTGGCTCATGCCCATAATCCCAGAACTTTGGGAGGCTGAGGCTAGAGAATTGCCTGAGTCCAGGGGTTCAAGACCAGCCTGGGCAACTTGGTGAGACCTCGTATCTACAATAAATCAAAAAGTTAGCTGGGCGTGGTGGCACATGCCTGTGATTCCAGATACTTGGAAGGCTGAGGTGGAAGGATCACCTGAGCCCAGCAGGTCAAGACTGTGGTGACTGTGGGAGTGCCCCTGCCCTCCCACCTGGTGACAGAGTGAGACTCCTACTCAAAACAAAAAACAAACAAACAAACAAATAATGAAAGTTCAACAACTTGGATGTCTAGAAATTGGGGATGGAATAAATAAATTATGGTACATTTAAACAATACACAAGCCAGGCTCAGTGACTCATGCCTGTAATTCCACCACTTTGGAAGGCAGAAGCAAAAGGATTACTTGAGCCCAGGGATTCAAGACCAGCTGGGCAACTTGGCAAGACCTCATCTCTACAATAAATTAAAATAATAATTTTTTTAAATTAGCTGGGCATGGTGTGCGCCTGTAGTTCCAGCTACTTTGGAGACTGAGGCTGAAGAATCACATGAACCCAGCAAGTCAAGGCTGTAGTAGCCGTGAGCATGCCACTGCACTGTAGCCTGGATGACAGAGTAAGACTCTGACTTAAAACACAACAAAACAAAAACTAGCAAACAAACAAAAAAAAACCAGGTTGCCATTAAAAATTGTATTTTACAATACTATGTATGTTTGTTTGTTTGTTTTTGAGTTGGAGTCTCACTCTGTCACCCAGACTGGAGTGCAGTGGCCGCTCCCAGCCACTGCAGCCTCGACCTGCTGGGCTCCGGTGATACTTCCGCCTCAGCCTTTCACGTAGCTGGAACTACAGGCACGTGCTACCACGCCCGGCTAAATTTTTTTTGATTTACTGTAGAGATGAGGTCTCGCCAAGTTGCCCAGGTGGGTCTCGAACCCGTGGGCTCAGGCAATCCACTCACCTCAGCCTTCCAAAGTGCTGGGATTATAGGCTGAGCCACCGAGCCCGGCTTTACAATACTATGTAATGACAAAACATTCAAAATATATTATTAAGTTGTTTTTTGGATTTGTTTGTTTGTTTGTTTTTTGACTGGAGGTTTCACTTTGTCACCAAGGCTGGAGTGCAGTGGCATGATCATAGCATGCCACTGCCTCGACCCCCAGGGCTCAGGCGATTCTTCCACCTCAGCCCCCAGAGTAGCTGGGACTACAAGAAGGTGTCACTACGCCTGGCTGATTTTTTCATTTTTTTTTTTAGAGAGGAGGTCTCGTAGTGTGGCCTAGATTGGTCTCAAGCAATCCTCCCGCCTCAGCCTCCCAAATTGTTGGGATTACAGGTATGAGCCACAGTGATCGGCCCAAGTTTTAATGTATTTATTATTTGTTATTAAGTATTTATTATTATTATTAAGTTGTTTTTATTTTATTTATTTTTTGAATTGGAGTCTCACTGTGTCGCCTAGGCTGGAATGTAGTGGCACTCTCACAGCTACCCTGAGTCAACCTGCTGGACTCTGGTGATCCTTCCACCTCAGCCTTCCAAGTAGCTGGACTACAGGCACACTCTGCCATGCCTGGATAATTTTTTATTTATTGTAGAGATGATGTCTCACCAAGTTGCCTAGGCTGGTCTCGAACCCATGGGCTCAGGCAATCCACTTGCCATGGCCTCCCCAAGTGCTAGGATTACAGGCTGAGTCACCAAGCCTGGCCTTAAATTTTTAACTATTTTTTTTTTTTTTTTTTTTGCTGGTGAGGCAATTGAGTCAGGTAGGGGTTGAGCAACTACCCTCCATCTGGCAGCTGGGAAATGATAGAGGTGGGATTTGAA